TGCCAGGGTAACAGCAACTGATTTGGGTGCATGACACTTGCTACTTGATGTCAAACTTACAGAATATACTATTGTCAGGTATGATGTTTATCAGACACTAGTACGTGCGGAAAGTAAACTGAGAGAGGACGTTAAGGGCCAAATCTTATCAAAACGTTCCTTGCAGCTTTTTAAAAGCCGCTCGATAAATAAGACTATAGGCGAGATTGAAGCTCTTAACTGACAAGTTGACTTGTTGGCAATAACCCAGATTTGTGGTGAGCAAAATGATTGCATAAAACGCTCAAAGGTTTAAAAATGATGTAAAAAGGCACGCACTGCTGAAATAAAAGGCATCAATTATCTCCCATGCTTGTGCAAATACCGTCGAATAGACCACGGTCATTGAGTTGCTAGTGGAGTTCACAACGGACTGATGGAGGGGTTGATCTTTATCGAAATTTGCCAGTACGGTTCCACCGCAGGTACCTCCATCCAAAACACGAAGCCGAGAACCACGGGATTTCATCTGGCAAAGGTGCCACAGGGATTATTAAATAAGGAGGTCAACATTGAAAACTTGTATAAATTTTACTCTGCGTATTTCTTTATGAATCGGTCTATTACTTCGTGGAACTGGAACATAAAGAGTACCTGCTTGTGCTGGAGTTGTCGTGAAATATCTGGGTCCTATGCGGCTAACGAAAACACTGGTACAAAAATTTCACAAACTGTATATCTGCTTTCTTATAAGGGATTCATAGATAAGTTGCTTACACATGAAATGACAGACTCACATTTTATTCAACTTACAATTAGCCGGTTGAAGCCAAGATGAACTTTGCTTCCGGGTGATACCGTTATTCGCCAAACACAGAGCACTTGAACTTTCCGGTGACCCCGATAGGATAGGTTGCCAGTGGCGTCAGTCAGCTCCTTTCCGCAATTTTCTGTAAGGATATTGACTGTATTAGATAAAGTACCAAACTTTCAACCAAATCTTCTTCACCTACTCCGATTCCCAGAAAGTGGTTGAATGTATGGAAGTCAAAATCAATAGCATGTTTGCTTGAATGCAACTGTTATCCAGTGAAAATTTTCCTGAGTTTGCACATGGTCGGTAACCTAGGGTGCAGACACGCTAATGAACGAGTACAGGAACTGCAGCACCTTAGAAATGAATGGGATGAAAGACCATTATCATGGAAGGTGGGGCTAAGCTCACGAAACATCTGGTGGCTAATTTTAGAAATAAAGCGATAGGTGTGAAATGAAACAATACTCGGCCAAGCAACTCACACTATTTCATACGATCACATAGCTTAAGGACCACAGATATTTCGGAAACCGTGGTGCAGTGTGTATTACCGAACAGAGACAACTAACCTTCAAATGGAAGCGGTTTCGATTCGTCTATAAGGGAGATGAATGCAGATTCCGTTAATCAGTGGAACATGCATTTATAGAAGCTGCTTACAATTCCCGTTGATCAAGCGAGAGCGGAATTGCCTTTAGATATGTAAAAATGTGCCGGATAGATATTTCATCCGTTGGTGATTTGGCGGCAATTCTGTGCCAGAGCTATCCAAGATAGTACAGTCGTGACACAGTGTATATAAAATACCGGGGACAAAATCGTAGCTTAACCATACCCCGAAACATTTAATTGACACTTCCTTATACACTTATCATGCGTTTTAACAACCAGCTGAATGTACTGACATTTAGAACTGCCTTCAATACTATGCGACTGAGATTGATTTGAACGTGGTCTTTTGAGATAATTCACTTCCTCTACAAGAACAGTAGTATCCAAACTAGTAGAAACCTTTCGAAATAGGATAACTCACCTAATCCGGCAACTGGAATAGAATCAGTGGGAAGTAGAAATGCGGTCAAACTGTTCCATTGTCATCAAACATTAAATAATGCATCGGTTATATGTAGATACAGAACCACACTACTGATCAGGTGGTTCACGTCTTCTGCATCCTTACGCTTCTCTTATTAATCGTAATGCCCGTACGTGGGCGAATATTGGAAGCTTGAAAGGGCTGCAACTGTCCCGTTGACTGCAGACTTGTAGAAATAACAGGAAACATGGCATGTACAAATCTGCAATCTATTCTGCCTAGCCAGTTGTATCAACTGATGTTCATTACCGATAAGTTTAGCCTCGAGCAAACCAATAAGGGACGGTGAGGTCTAGTTACTGTAGTACACAATGAAAGTAACTATTTGTTTAGTTAGCACGTACTATGACATTAGGAGTAGTGGCAATCTTTCTAATCTGCAGACATTGCGGCTAGTGGATTTCGGAATGAAGAAACAGACAGTCAGTATTTACGGCATGGTTTGCTTACGAAGCACTCTCCTCGGCATCTTCTATCTCATCGCCACGTTAACACAGTGTCCACAGCTGAGTTTTGAGAACACCTTAGCTGCTTTTACTTATTTGACTGGGAAGATGTCTATTAAAGTATCTGAGCATCTTATAAGCCATATGTTCGAAATCATTGGGAAAAGGGGCTGTGTAGTGAAAACAGTCTGGTATCACCGAGATTACACGCAGAGTTCGTGGAGGTTATTATTTGTTCACCTTACTATTCAGTTACGTTTGACTATCACCATATGCACACTCGCGGATCCGCTAAACGTCCAGTAAAGCTAGGGTATTGCACGACGCCGAAGAAATTGTCTAGCGCTTTGTGATTCGTCAGTCAGCAAAATAGCAGAGAACAAACGCAGTGATAACCCTATCCCATGACGCGTAGCTAACGTTAAAAATGAAAATCGAATTACAGATTAGCTGGCCAAAACTATCTCTTTGATATTAGAGGACAAAGAACCGGAAAGCATTGTTTAATTCGTTTGTGTCTACGGCTACACTGGTAATGGTGGATGTATTGCCACTGTAGTCAGTTTGGTTATGGAACAAGCCGGAATAAGTTTTGACGATGAAACCTCGGTTGCGACAGTATAGGATATTCTCTTTGCCATCCTCTCATGTTTGCTAAGCCACACTGAAGGTGGTTGTATGTAACAAGGAGAATCGCTCTGTTCCTTGTAGACATCTGGATAGGTTTTGGGTAGGTGATGCTCGTGGTGCACTATCTATGTCATCAGGCAACGTGTATCCTCAAAAGAGAGACTTGCGGAGGCACGTGAGACAAGTCAAACTGAACACCTAGCATTTTGCGGGACAAGCAGCGTTCGCCAGCTTACTGCTTGTAGCGGACTGCCGCCTTGCTCACCTGCTCCTGAATGGTATAATGCCCACAGATGCTCATGGTTGACCACTAGCTTCGTTGCTGACTGCTTAACTGGCTTCCAGGAATGGCGTCAATATGAATGGCTTTGGACTGGGAGCAAGACTCGAAATGACCTTGTTAGGAAATGTCTGGGATTTAGATATACTATGCCAACACAAAGGCGGATTTTAAATGACCTTGGTAATATGCCATCCGATGTCCCCACCATCTGCAGACTTTGATGCATACATAATATTTAGGGGACTGTACTGAATAACTAAATATACCTTGTCCACCTTTAATCACAACTGGTTCCAATATTTAGTGCGATTTAAGGAGCATGAACTATGCGTTTTTATACTAAAACGTATGCAAATAACTTCTCATCTGTTGATCCTTAGGCAGTACATTCATGTGTTTCCGTTTCGTTGGACGATGTCCGTATCAGCAATTCACAAGATATGTAAATATTCTCAGATTCCGTATTGGGTCTTGCGACTATCCCTTCGTTTTATTATATAGGGTTTTGAATTGTGCAGTACATTAGAGCAGTTTTTCCCTGTGTCGAAAAGCTGGAAATTTCATACCAAACAACATAATTTCCTGCTATTGTTACACCACTTCTAAACGGAAACATTCCAACCGTGTTAATAAACACGGACCGTAGTCATTTAATAGCAATCTTTGAGGGAACCAAACGGATACGTCGCACAATATTGATCGCTATATGCTGGACATAATTTATAATCATCATTTTATTCCGCAGCTAACTTCTTCATTGACGTGTGGCACAGTGCAAAATTTATGTCGGATGCGACAATTTTTCGCTGCATTGCATCACATTGGTTTAGTGAATTTCGTCTAGGTTTCTTGATATTAGGACAAACCCGATGATGGCGCAAGCTGTTACCAAAATTTCACATGAAATTCATCTTCAATAGAACCGTTACCCATTAGACATAGGTCTTGGCTTCAACAAATTTTGTAAAGAAATAGTGGAAGTGATTATAGTTCTTTGCATTTGTAATTTAGGTAACTGACATCGGTATGTGCGACGGTATTAACACCAGGAACAACGTGGATCTAAGGCATAAATGTTGAACAACCTAAAACTTGCCCAGCACAGATGAGAAAGTCTGCGCCCTGGTGCGCAAACGATTCGACCCTCCTTGTCTTCGCGCAGGGAGCTAAATCACGTCATACGGGTTGACCATCTATAGTTGAAGACTCGGTTGTTTGCTGTATTTGTTCAAACTCCGTAATAAGCAAGTAACTTACTAGGATTCGTTGATCTCAAACACAAGTCAACAGTTAATGTATGTACCTTGAATAGATTACATTGGTATTAATTTTCCCCAGTGATTTATTTTAAAGGAATGCTAAATGATCACTGATAACAACTGTTTATTTTTGTCTCGTGTGCTCGAAACCATACTGGAAATTGCTAGTTAAAATAATCCTGTTAGCTGTTCGGTTTAAGCTGGCGAATACGCATGATTACTATTCACTAATGCCAATAGAATACAACAAAATGCAGGAAGTTTACCAAAGGTAAACAGAGGTAATGACTGCCTTCACTCCATCCAGTTACCTTCGTAGTCTGCGGGAAATTAACAAAGCCACGATATCAACAAATAATGTTGCTGAAGTTTCTTTCGCGGAAAGTTGGAGATCTGGAGCGGAATTTATTGGGTAGATGCATTGTAAAACTTAATAATTCATGACATTTGGTGAGATGTTGTCTGTTACTAACCGATGCTTCGAATAAACATTGAATATACTTACCTGTTGAGTATTTCGCTCTGAATCGCCATTTCGCATCTGAGCCATCGGTTAACGACAAAACGGTCATTCGGTTGCCAGATGAGATGAACACTGGAGTGTTCCCATTGAGTACCAATCCGATTCTTTTCGACAGGCAATCAGATCCATCAAACACAACAATTCTGCCAAAATCGGTATCAAGCTGAATAAAACAGGTATAATTGAAAAATATCACACATTTATCCCTAACAAATCAACCCGTGACAAGCGGGATGGAGTGTAATTCGGAAAACTCCTGTGCTTCGAACGGATAATGGTAAGTGTTTGGAAGAATCTGATAGACAAAGTCCTGCAGGCCACATTTTGCTGCAGTTCAAACCGTTGTTCAATTTACATTTCACCACCATACGATTCAGATAACGTTTGCACACCAGTCATGACATACTACATGTGTGAACCTAGTGAGACAGCAAGTTTGACATCTCTAAATGCTACATAAGAAGTTGAAGAACGATTAGATTATAACGGGTGGCAACTATATATTTATAACGGTTTTGAGTGCATCGCAATGGAGTTGAACAGATCTAAATAGCGATCTTTCCCGCACGGCGGTATTTAACATTTAGTAATAATTTACACTGACACCAAAGAGGAGTAAAATAGCAACATTAAATAACAGACGATTTTGAATGATTCTAACTTACATATTGTGAACAAAGCGGTCACAAACTTACCTTGACCTCGGTAAAATTCAATAAAACTTGCATCTTGGACCGCACACCAATTTCATGGTTGCAAAATGCTTCAAATCTTGACCAATTTGGATATCCTGGGCTTTGGACGGTTCCCGATTTCCTCCGAATGTGTACTTCACTGCAATTTGGTTGAATGACGCCATCTAGGACACCAGAATATTGAGAAAACGTTGTAGTTTTGGGGCGAGTTTGAGTTAAAAACTACCCCAAGAAAAAAGAAGTGAAACCAGTTAGTCTTTGTCTAGATTTAATACAACAAGTTATGCAAATTCACATTAGTGGATCTATATACGTTAGCACATGAAAAATCAAAACTATATGCAGCTAGGTACAATTCGAGAAACTTGAGAGTTAACATTCAATAGGAGTTCGAAAATTAGTGTTTTTTATCTACCTTGTCAGCAAAGCACCTCATTTTTTTACCTGAGAAACCATCATAAGACTGCGATTATTCTAAATTACTGTATTTTTCCGTAAATAAGAACAGCATCAAGGTTTTTGTGTTCTCCACTATGCGGTTTGCCGAGCACCCACTACTCATGCCATTCCGAGTAATGTGATCAAGTGACTTTGCCTGCATTGACACTCAGTTTATTTCAAAAGTTTAGAGCTGCTGTTGGACAGTGCAGAAACCGCTTGTTCCAGCATACACCATGCAAAACGAGAGTGATCAAACCAAAATCTTGCCATCAAGTTGTAAAGCGTGCTAAAAGATAATGCGCAGACTCAGTGTGTGCCTTTTAAATCTGGGCGCGTAGTGTGCGCGGAAAGCTCTGTCGAATATCCTATGTTTGATGCTTACGGATATCCAAACTTGCGGATTGGCATTTAAAATATCTTTGTTTTAAATGGTGATATATTATACAATTTTTCGACTATCCTACAACGTAGCCAAGGCACATAACAGGAGTAATAAAATGAGAATGACACGTTAGTCCCCATAAACGAATTTACTCAGTTACGCAGTTGACCCGTTAAAATTCTTAACTGCTTTAGTAAAGTTCACATTCTGTCAATTGGTAGATGAACCCACACAAATAGAGCATTATGGATCCGACTGCAGGATTTGTAATATTATCGAATAACTACTCCTCAGGCCCTCAAGATAGGTTACGTTTAAAATATAAGGTTTTGCAAGTGGAATATTCCAAGGCGAATGCCTAAACAGTACAGTAAGTAAGACTCACTTCCTTGGTCTGCGTGTTTACGTGGCACAATGCCAAGCAGCAGAAACGCGGCAAACAGTGCCCTTGAGCTATTCATGACCTTGATTCCTCACAATGAGCAGGTACGAGCACGGTCTCCGAAGTTATTCTCTCGCAATTTGACCTTGGAGGCTAACGCACTGTACAGACGCATTGTACAAAGTTGCACAACATAGCGTCATTCGCAGATTATTATGCAATGATGTCCCAGTTTGCAACGCTATAGGTTACTTGACGAATAGCGAATACCTGTTGAGAATTTGTGTGTACCATCAACTGATTTCATCGCTGGAAGCTTATGAGCCGATGTCGCAAGCAAACGTCATTGCAGTTTTAAAGATGGAAAACCAAGAATAAAGCAGGTTTTGAAGTATGTTTTTGTATGAAATAGAGAAATTATAACGTTGAGTAAGCTAACGACCAGAACTAAGAATTAAACATTTGAATCTGGGTTTTATGTTTTCATTATTTTGCACCATTTTTCACAGTAAAAGTTAGGCCTAGAATATGTAGCAAAAATATTGTCTTCCGCTTGAGAAGTTCTAAGCAGCATTGGTAGAAATACCAATTATGCAGATCTCAAGACCACGGAGTAACCATAGATATTAAGCAGGCTTCGATGAACATTTTTTACTGAGTATTTAGGAAAACGGGTTTCTTTAGGCTAAGGTTGAAGAGGCGGCTTTAAACATGTCAATAAACCGGTTGACCATTACAAAACTAGGTAACTGAGAAAGGCACTCGCATTAGGTGTGATACTTTCTGATGTAGTGAGCCGGTATGCTTATTAGTCGACGTCAATTGTAAGTTTTTATCCGTCCTGCAAACAGCAACCAACTTTCTAATAAAAGTGATAGCGATGAAAGCTACCATGGAAATTTTGTTGCTCTCTACGTCAAATACAGGTGCACGCCTCCTTAGAGGAAGCACGATTCACGGTGCTTATTATGCTTACTAAGTCAACCTGACGTGCAGAGATCTAATTGTTTGCGACCCGCATACGTTTAATGATTAAGCCGAGTGATGTTGTATGTGAGGACCAGGTAATGCGAGGTGTCTTACATCTCCTAATGGCAACATATATGAATGTAAACCAATGGCCAGGCAACAGAGACATCTGAGTTTAGAAGTGGAGGAGATTTTTAACGTTGTTAACACCACTAAAATGTCCACCTATCGATATGCTTCAGGAGAGAACTGAAACAATTTGCTAAGGGGCACCGCATCACCTGCAAGAACACACTAATGGGCTATAACACCATGTCCAAAATTAATTAAGTCGAGAGCCTTACCAATATTTCTAGGGATTTCCTTCTGCATAACCAACCGGCTAACTTTCAAAACAGTCGTCGCAACGATTATAAGGGAAGTGGAATACTGCCAATCACTTCCAATCACTCATTAGCCAGTAAGTCATGATCCATCTGAAAAGTGCTTCTTTTGACAACTCCTTATTTGGTTGATCTGACGGTCCAACCATGTTAGAATGTTGTGCCATTAATGATAATGCATGCATGACAAGCATCCTCCATTAGTTCCCGTTTCTCGCCTTCACCCTTACTGGCACGAAACAGGTGTTGATGTGTTGTTGAGAACAAAGTGCCATGCTCATTCAAAAGCAGTTTTGCTTTAAATCAGTTATTGTCTAGTCAATTTGCGATGAACTAATACAAGACGGTTGCACACCTAAAATTCCTGAGTACAATCATCAAGGCTGATCTAAAGTTTCAGTATGTTACTTCGCTACATTGTTCTCTAGAATGTGTGTTCCATGTTGTGATTATTTCATATTTTCGCCACACCTAACTGCACTGATGTTTACCATCAAACGGCGTCTAGGCTATAACTCTGCTCCGTTGTTCAATAGGTTGTTATATCGAGGAGCAACAACGCCACTGAGTATTCGAACGGTAAGTGTAACTTTTCTTAAACTGTCAAGCCAATTGATTACGTGAATACGGCTGTACCCAACCGTGCAATCATATGTTCGATCTTCAATGACTACTTCATGTCTACTTATAGCACTAATGCGATTGAAGATCCTCAGCTCAAGCTGACACACAGAGGCAGAAATACACTTCAAACTGTTGAAGTTACACTTAGTGACATATGTCACCAACTCTGATTAGTTCGGCCATCATGCTCACCAGGCCCTGACAACATTCCTCCAATACTGGTAAAGCACGGAGCTCCAGACATCCCCTTGTTTTTGCTTAATGTATTAACACTTTCCATGCACAATGGCGATTATCCTATACACTGGAAGCAATCAACTATAATACCAAGACACAAAAGCGGATCTATGCAAGATGTAAAAAATTACCGCCCAATCCGCCACACATCTATTATCTCCAGAATCATGGAGAGGATAGTTAAAGAACGCATAATAGAATATTTGAGTTCTATGAGCCTTCTAAGTAAACATCAACGCGGTTTTTTGAAAGGTAGGTCGTACACTACCTGCCAGTTAGATTACCTTGATTATGTGACTAGAGCAAGAGACGCCGGAAGTGTTATCATCGTAATATTTCTTGACATCCAAAAGGCTTTTGACCGTGTCCCAAACAATTTATTGTTGCTGAAGCTTATGTCCTTTGGTGTCACTAATTCGTTTCGATATTGGTTGTCTTCCTACCTCGAGGGTAGAAAGCAAGTAGTCAAAATCGGTAACTGTACATCTGAAGCCACTACAATCTCTAGTGGAGTGATTCAAGGTAGCGTCCTAGGCCCGCTTGTATTCTTTATCTATTTCAACGATCGCCTCGACGAAATCTCGTAAGGGAAGCCGTTCCTTTTCGCAGATGATGACAAAATAATGTATTGTTCCGCCCCTGGACAATGTACTCCTAACTTAGCCTATATTCAGTCTGACTTGTCCGCATTGGAGCTCTGAAGTAACTCCTGGAAGCTGCACTTTGCCACGGACAAGAGTAATCTATTGTACTACGGCTGTGACCATTCTCTGAACATCCTTACATTAACAAATACTCCTATTCCTGTGTGTGGCGCAGTCCGAGACCTTGGTCTAAGATATCCTGCCTCGTTTACTTTTTTAGAGCATGTTATATTCTTGCAGGCTTCTGCCAGAAAAATGATCGCTTATATAAGTCGCACTCTTATTTTGAGGGATTCCAGGCTTCAAGCCTTTAAAATATGTGTTAGGCCGAAACTTGAGTACTGTACCACAGTGCATACTAATCTGAGAAAAGTGGATATTATAGCACTAGAAAACATTCAACGATTATTCACAAAAAGGTTTCTGAACATGCCTAATACTATGACAGGCCGTGAGCGTTGCGAGGCGTTAAATCTGGAGCCGCTATGGCTACGCAGACTCAAACTTATTCTGTACCTTCTATACCGCTTACTCTTCGGGCTGAGCTTCACTACTTAGCCATAACTCGAGTTTCAGACTCGTATGCGCTATGAACTAAGAAACAGCGAGCGCACACTCAAAATATCAAAGTCTCGTACAGAGCTCCGCTCAAAAATTTTCCCTGTAAAATATGCGTTAATATGGAACAAACTTCCATCGAGTGTTAGAAACTGCACTACATATGCACAATTCAGACGCATAATTAATATTCACCTGACTGTTGCAAACATCTAGTCAACACTAAGCCAAACGGTGACTCTAGATGATTTGTATGAGAAAGGTCCTGGATACGTATGAAAGTCAACATATCCTCTATTCCTTTCAATAATATAAGATTACCTACATATAATTGCATTCTTGAGTATATATTTGAGAACGATCTTACTCCTATTAATCCGTCTAACCAATTCTGTTTTCTCCTTTGACGCACTGGTTCGTAGATGCACTACACCTTTCAAGCTGACGTCTCTGTACCATCGTCGTCACTCGCCAAGATTTTCCATCAAATTATGACTGGCCTATCGGCAAACGTTTGTATTCATCATTATGTTTTATAATTCCTCATACTTTATTCTCTTTGTTTCACCGTTGGTCATGACTGGGCTGATCTCTTGTGGTGACGGATTACAGCTTCCAGATTAAAAAAGTATACCCATGCAAATCATATTACTACTGACTCGCTGGCTTAAAACAAAAAAGTGCCATAATTGATTGATCCGCATGACAGAAAGGGCTGAGGCTTCATCGCCTATAATGTATGCATAAAGCAGCCCTAAAAAAAGACATTTGACACCTAGTTCTGATGGCCTATTTACTATCTTGCCACACAGGCACAGAGGCCAAATGGAGCATGGAAGTGCGGGTGAAACCCATCGTGGAAATACCCTGCATGGAAGCAAGTCCCCTGGGGACAGTTCCATGGATGACCGTATTACTTTACTTGAACTTTCCATGAAATCTACATTTATTATTGTTCCCAGTTTCTTTATCTCTCTACTTTTTCCAAACTGCTAATCATTTCAAAAACCCATATGGGAACCATTGATCAAAAGACGAATAATTAACTATATTATGCGATCACGTTGTACATGTTGATAAGACCACCCAATTGGCCTGTGCCTCGCACTGCTGAGGAATAAACGTTTATTTATTTCTTTATAATAATTCATGTAATCGTGAGCCTTACCAATATTTCAAGGGATTTCCTTCTGTATTACCAACTGGCTAGCTTCGAAAACAGTCGTCGCAATGACTATAAGGGTAGTGAAATAGTGCCAATCTCTCCTCTTCACTCATCAGCCAGCAAGTGGTCATCCGTCTGAAAATGTCTACTTCCAATACCTCCTTTACTCGACTGATCTGACGATCCAACCATGTTAGGATGTTGTACCATTAATGGTAATGCGTGCACGACAAGCATCCTTCATTATTTCCTGTTTTTTGTCTTCACCTTGCTGGCATGAAACAGGTGATGATGTTTTGTTGAAAACAAAGTGCCGTGCGCTTTCTAAATCTGTTTCGCTTTAAATCAGTTATTATGTAGCCAATTTGCGGCGAATTATTGCAAGACGGTTACACACCTGTCACCAAGGCTGAGCTAAGTTTTCTTCGTTACATTGTTCTCTAAAATGTGTGTTCCATGTTGTGATTGTTCCATTTTTGCGCTACACCTAACTGCACTG